ATCCATGAAGCTAAGCATTTGATGACTGACTGTGGCGTCAACAAGCAGATCTATGCGAGAAAGGGAATAACTGTCTTTGGGGCAAGCTCGATTGAGGTCGGAGTAATCGACGCAGAGCCGTTATTTACCATCGTTTTTACGGACCAAGACCACATTCGACAGCCACCTGAGGTAGTCCACGTTTTTGATAAACTGTGCCTTAAGGAGCTTATCTACTTCAAAAGCAATAAGAGTATTGCGTTCTGGGTGAAAGATGCGTTGCTTCTGGCGAAATGGTCAAAAATGGGGCTCAATGCTGAGACGATGGGTGATGAAGGAGGGGTCAATACCCGGCATGTCGGAGTGGGTCCAAGCAAATACGTCGTTGTGCTCAATCAGGAAGGCCGTAAGGTCGGCCTTGGCCTGGGAGGATAGTTGGCTGCCGATCTTGGCAGTTTTTGTCGAGTTGGTGGGATCGATGAAGACCTCGACAAGCTCTTCCACTAGTTCTCCTCTGACCAGCTTGTCCTCGTCTCTGATGTCGAGTCTTTCAATGATCATAGTCTCCTTTAGTTTTACCTCTTTAAGTGAAGCGACGTAACATTCTCTGGCCACAGTCTGCTCTCCCCTCACCGTGCCGACCCTAAGGTCGGAGGGGAATTTGACAGCAAGATGGAAAATGGATGTGATAGCTTAGAAAGCATTTAGGGCGGTGCGACCGAGGATAATGTTGTAAGCAGAGGGACAGTCGACGACGAGGAAGGTAAGCAACTTTGTGGTCTGCCGTGGATATTCTCTGATTGTGATGGGAAGATCGATGGAGCCGATGGAGGTCACTCGATCTCCAGTAAAATCGACTAATGGGGTTTGGAGAGGGGACAGACTTTCTTCCCCGATCTTGAGTTGGCAAAAGGCATTTAGGAAGATGATGTCTGAAGAACTGCTGTTGTCGAGGAGAACCCGTCTGACTTTGTAATTGGAGAGGAGGACAGAGATGACGAGGGGGTCGTTATGGGGGTAACGGATGCCTGTGCAATCGGCCTCCGTAAAAGTGATGGGCTCCATTCACTACTTGGGCTGTTTGGAGGGTCGGCCCAATATAGCAACTTCTTTGTCTGAGCCCTGCCTTATTTTTCTGAGTTCTGCCCGCTGAGTCGAGCGGGATGGTCCCCCACAAGCAAGCCCGCTAGCAATAACTCTGATCTCTCCAACAGGGAGGACATGGTTACCTTGTGCCCGGGGTTGCTGTGGAGGGCGATCATGACCTTGGTTAGGTTGTGCGAGTTGTCGAGGAAGGGTGCGCCGACAGTTGTTTCTAATAGGTTCAGTCATTTGCCTTTGCTAAGGACGGGCTTCTGTGAATCGACTGAGATGTCCCTGATGTATCAAGCTCTCAATCTGATCTTTGAGGTTAACACACTCCTCGGTATTATGGCCGTGGTCCTGATGAAAACGACAGTATTTGGATTGGTCTCGCTGGTTGGAAGGAGACCGTGACGGTTGGGGCCATTTTAGGGGACAGTCTCGTTGAATCTGGTTCAGGACTTGTTCCATGTTGGAGTTGAGGGGTGTGTATCGTTCGAACCGGTCGGGCGGTCGGGTTGGCGCCGACCGGTTGGCTCAGGTTGGTCGGTCGGTATACTGAGGTGTTTGGTGAGTGTACTAGGTGTTTCTAGTTTTTGAGTCCTTTCTCTTCTCTCGGGGGGTTGGGTTTTTGGCCGTAGGATCTTGTCGAGCGGCCAGGGAATCTTCGGCGTTCATGTATTTTTGGGCTTTGGAGAGTAGGGTTGCCATGGAGGTCGGGGGGGTTTTGAAGAGGAAAAAAATGAAATCGGACGATTTTAGACTGTCCATGAAAGCCGTGAGAATGACCTTGTCATCATTTTCTACCACCTGCAAGGCCTCGGTGTTGAAGCGGGTGACGAAGCTACGTAGTAAGTCTCCCTCCGTCTGATGGATGTTGAGGAGTTGAGTTACCGGACGCCGTTGGTGCTGGGCACCAATGAAGTGGCTGAGAAATGAGTCACTCAGGTGCTGCAAGGTAGAGATGGAATGCATGGAGTATCATGAGGGTCCTGTAGGTCTCCAAGTGATCGACTGGGTCCGTTGTACCGTCGAAAGAGTCAATCAAGGGCATTTTAAACTTAGGAGATAGAGGGTTGTCCCTAATGGAAGCAACGAATGGTGAGTTGGCTGTAGTAGATGGTTTATGCTGTATGTTCTGCATGACTCCTTGGAGCTGGAGCTTTATGGCTCGGAGTTCCGCATCCCAGAGAGGAACGTTGTCACCATCGGAATGCGGCGGGGGCTGGACACTACTGGCCTCTCCCTCCGGGGTGGGTTCCTGGACCGATGGAGGTAGGACCCGGGGTGGCGAGTTCATATCTGGGGGAGGGGGTCGCAAGCCTTCCAAGTTGGGTGGATGGGGCTGCTGGATAGTATGGCTCGGGGCTCGTTCTTGGTTGGGTCGGATATCTGGAGGTGGTGAAGGAGGCATAGGAAGGTTCATTTGGAGGAGAGCATTAATCAGGCCTTGGTTTTGCTCGGCCAGGCGGTTAATGCTGTTGGTGAGCTCGGTGAAATACTGCGGTGGGTTGTTTGGATTGGAAGGGTTGGCTTGGTGGTCGGCAACATTGTGGTGAGAAGCCATGGATCTAGTTATGACCATCCACCTTGGTGGGTGGTAGGAAGGGGTTATTGGGAAAAGGTCTCCGGCGACAATGAGCACAACTGGAGTGCGGAGCACCAGGATTCTCATAGACGGCGCCAACTGATATTACAGCGTGTTCCAGATAGAATGGGTCGGACTGATCCATGCTTCCCAAACCAGTGTTCGAGGTTTCAAGCCCACAGAGAAACCTGCACAAGAGTTCAACAGGGAACGAGAGTCCCCCAACGAACCCTCCGACGAGCAAGTTAGAAAGAGAGATGGAATGTGGAGATAGTTTAGTGATAGAAAGCTTAACCTTTTTCTTGTCTTTGATACCTGCTTATATCCTTTGCTAATCATTTCGTTGTTCCTTTCGACCAGTCACCTTGGCCGAAAGTCTATGCTCTAACTTGCCTTGTTCATGGTGAGGCCGTTTTGTCCCGACGGGGAGGGGTTATCGCAATATATGCTGTAAGGAACCCCATTAATGGCTAATGTGCAGTGCAATAACTTTACAGGATCTTTGTCTGCTTATGTGGCTTGTCCTTCTCTTACCACGTGTTTAGATGTCATTGGTTCTTAATGCCACGCTGAGCTCTAGCGACGTTGGGTTTTAGTATTTGAATTATGTATTGGGCCCTAAGTGATGAGTTATATCCTTTATGAACTTACCCATGTCAATATCCAGTTGGTGATGATGATGATGGTATATTGTTGGCTTTGATAGTTATAAATTGTAATATAACTAGTTTGCATAGATGATTTTTACAGAATGAGACTCATATATGATACAAAGGATTGGTTCCACATGTGAGATCAACCTCTTATTTTGTGTCCTAATATACTAAATTATTAAATTTTTTGTGTTTATATTACAATTCTTTGTTTTTTTGACATAAATAACATAAAGACATCTGGTTTTCGTTTTCAGCATTTATAGCTTCTAATTGGGAGTTTGTTTTGGTTCCTATTCAGTTCACTTTCTACCCTTTCAATTTCCTCATTTGTCTTGTTTGTCATGTGGAACAATTATATGGTGGTCCTTTTGGCAACAACAATTTTGTGGTAGGTACTTATGCTAATAAATGTCAGTTGGTCTCATCCTTTCATTTAATTCACAAATTGTAATGTCACTTTTTATACTTGTTTTTGTTTATGTACAAGCATACCCATGTTCCGTTTTGGGTGCTTGTGTGGAATCAGATTTTCTACTTAATTTTTCTACTTGACTCTTTATTTGCTGGGTCATTGGGCTCACTTTTAGACCCAATTTCAATAATTTGAACTGTTCATATTTTAAGATTTATTGAGCATATCATACTTATAAAAAATTAAATTGATCGAATATTAGAAAGTATGTGTTCGGAAAGCCGTTTATTAATTTTTTTTTAAAAATAGTTTTTAGTTCGATGATCTAAATACGTAGTTTCTAATATCTGATCAACTTAATTTTTTACATGTATGATATACTCAATAAATCTTAAAATATGAAAAGTTTGAGTTATTGAAATTAGGCCTAAAAGTGGGCCCAATGACCTAGTAAGTAGGGAGTCAAGAAGAAAGATTAAAGAGAGGACCCTCATTCACTTGTGTGTGGTGTTCTTAGGTGGGGCCTATTTCAGGTTCATCAAATTAATTTGAATTATTCTTGAACAATAGATGGGAGGGAATAAGAGAATGAAACTATTTGAATCTAAGATGGGACATCATTGAGATTAGATTATTTCATAAATTACTAATTTATGAATTAGATTTTTGGTTATTTGTCTCTCTGCAATGATTTTTTCATAGTAATCTAATTATTCAAATTTAGATTTAGAATTTAAGTAAAATGACATCATTTTAATGTGTGTGATTTAAAAATAACATGATAAATTAATGTTATTTTAGCTTTAAATAGAGGAGATAGATTTAATCGAAATCTCTTATGTAATTACACACATTCAAATGTGCTCAAATTCATAAATAATTTTAAATGGATTGCATTTTCAAACTCAATGAAAATGATTAAATTTAAATAAGTTAAACATAAATATCTATTTAAACTCATTTAATTAGATTTTTTTACTACAACCTCTACTTCCAACACACCACTGCCATCACCACGAACACAACCACCTCCACCTCCACTCCTTCACCAACACCACTTCCACCATCTATTTTATTTGTTTAATTAATCCAAATCCATTTCAATTCAACTTGTTTATTAAACGGATAGATTTAGATTGAATTGTTTCAAATGCATAATTTGTTTTAATTCACATATTTGTCACTATTAAATTTTAAATTTTGGTTATTGAATTATATAGTTTGTGAATCATAAAAATTAGATTAAAATCATTGCAGAAACTACGACAAATAATCCTACTATGCTTTTCTTTTTTTGATAGCAATCAAGTCAAACCATTGTAGGGTAGGCTACCCCAATCCAAACTTTCCCGCCAGTACCTGTCAAAAATACCGATCACTGAGAGCGCAAATGGCACCAAACCCATATCTCTCTCTCTCTCTCTCTCTATCTCTCTCTCTCTCTCTCTCTCTCTCATGGACGCTCTCTACAACACTCACGTAAAGCTTCTAGCTTTCGACTTCCTCTCTCTCACTCCATCTTCCTCAGACCCAACCTCCTTTTCCCGCAAACCCTCTCCTCTCTTCTTCTCCCGCGCCGAAACCCTAGGCGTCGTCACAACCCGAGAGCTCAAACCCAACAGATTCCTCAAATTCACAATCGACGATGGCACTGGCTGCATTCCCTGCATCCTCTGGCTTAACCATCTCACTTCCCCCTACTTCTCCCGCCGAAGCCCCCCAGATGTTCGACTAATTGCCTCTGTGGCCGCCCGATTCGCCTCCCAAATCCAACTCGGTGTTGTCGCCAGGGTTCGCGGCAAGATCACTGCCTACAGAGGATCGGTTCAGATTACGGTTTCTGATATTGTCGTCGAGCGAGACCCCAATGTGGAGATTTTGCATTGGTTGGATTGTGTTAAGCTGGCGCGCAAGTGTTATGATGTGGTAAAACATAACCCCATTGTGATGATTTGAAGATGCTAGGTATGGGTTTCTTGTTTCTTGTGAAATTGTGTTTTGCAATTTGCATTACTGTGTTGTGTAATTTATAAGATTTTGATGATCAAATTTGCAAATGTGAGCTATGTTTTATTTTATGTGTATATTTGATAATGGTAACTTTTAATCATATGGATTGCGAAGTAAAATGAGTGATGATAAAACTTAAACTTGAGAAAGTCTTTGATCCCTGCTGCTTTGGGTGGGGTTAAATTAATCCTTGTATGCCAGTCTTTAAATTTTATGTTGAAGGAAGTGTCAATGACTCCTTAACGGCAGACCCATAAATTGTACAAAAGAGGGGCCATGGTAAAATTATTAGATTTTTGAGTGGTTAAAGATAAATTTGTTTAGATTTAAGTGGGTCGAAATACTTTTTTTTTTTAAATATTTAAAATGGTGTAGACTAAAGATTTTTTTTTTTTTGGGTAAAGTTTGGGAGGGTCAAAGTAAACCTATCTAAATTTTAAAGGGCCAAATGTAAATTTCTTTTACCAATACTTAAACTAGCATGGGACTAATCAAGATTATGTGAAATTTGACGGGTTGTGGCCCCTGCCTTTGCCACTAACAATCCTTATCCTTTCTCTATGATAATGGCTGGGTTCAATAGCGATTCAATGGTTTTTGAGACTTTACATTAAACATTAAAATGACGGATTATCTTACTAGGTCTTAGAAAAATTGGGACTTTCAACAAAAAAGAATTTTGAGATTTTCTTGGTGGGCCTTAGACAATGGTCTAAGTAATCTAATGGTTGGGCCACTTCTAGTTGTGTTGCTTGCAAATAAGGCAATAGATGTAATAAAGGCTGCGTTAAGAGTTAGCTAGGGGTGGGCAACGGTTTATCCGATCCGCAAAAACCGCCCAACCCGTCCAATCCGCACACAAATGGGCGGTTTCGCAAATACAATGCGGGCGGATGCGGTTTGAAATATGGCATCTTTGCGGGTTGCTTTATAAATTTTTTGGATCAATACAATGTTGAGAAATTGAGAGTAGATAAATCTGTAGATAAGGTTAGTATGCCAGTAGAGTTCAATGTGAAAATAGTTTAAGGGCTTCAATTACTTCAAAAATAGGTCATAGCAGATTGGTGAATGAAGTTGGGATAGTAAAACTCCAGACCACATACTGTGGAAATGAATGTTCATATTGCATTAACTAAAGGAGCTATACTAATATGGCTATAGGTATCACAAATTCTTTTTAGCTACTTGTTATGGAGACCACTATTAGCTAGAATTATGGTATCACAAATACGGAGACGACTATTAGCTAATTGTTATGGAGACCACTGTTAACAATTCTCCATAGCTGATTGCTATGGAGACCTCTATTGGCTACAAATATGGCTATAGGTATCACAAATTCTTTTCAGCAATTGAGCAATATATTGGGAGGTTTTCGGTATTGTGATTGATGGGGAATTGGAATATTGTAACTTTGGTCACCTATGAGAGAGAGAGAGAGAGAGAGAGAGAGAGAGAGAGAGTTTAGTCAATGCTTGTCAATGTGACTAGCTGAAAGAGTGGAACTAATGCGTTTTCTCAAGTAAAAATAAACTACTTTGGAGTGATGTGCATTCTCGTAGCTAAGTTAACTTGTTGCAACTTTGCGACTCAAATCAAATCCATCTTGTTAGTAAACTAATAATTGCAATAATTTCTGCTGGGCACCGATTCACTTTTAGACAATGCTCGTGCCATCTTTTCTCTAATTTATCAAGTTGAATACTCTCTTGAGTCTTTCTGAAGTGTTTCCCCTGTAGTAATCTGAATCTTGTTGGACAATTTTTGCTTTCGAATTTATCTACATTAAAATGGTTGAAATTATATCAATCTCAAATCAATGGGCTATTAGAAAACTCTAATTAAGCTTCTTAAATGATTTTTTTCCTCCCTCATTTTCAAATCGCTGGTGAAGTATAGTTATTGTTGTTTCTGTGTGAAAGATCAAGCCTCTTATGTGAGAGGTGGAGTGATGTGCATTCTCTTAGCTAAGTTAACTTGTTGCAACTTTGCGACTCAAATCAAATCCATCTTGTTAGTAAACTAATAATTGCAATAATTTCTGCTGGGCACAGATTCACTTTTAGACAATGCTCGTGCCATCTTTTCTCTAATTTATCAAGTTGAATACTCTCTTGAATCTTTCTGAAGTGTTTCCCCTGTAGTAATCTGAATCTTGACTCAACATTTTTGCTTTCGAATTTATCTACATTAAAATGGTTGAAATTATATCAATCTCAAATCAATGGGCTATTAGAAAACTCTAATTAAGCTTCTTAAATGATTTTTTTCCTCCCTCATTTTCAAATCGCTGGTGAAGTATAGTTATTGTTGTTTCTGTGTGAAAGATCAAGCCTCTTATGTGAGAGGAAGGACTGTAAAAAATTATGTTTGGTTTGGTTTTGAGAGAGTAGTTTTTAAAAATTATTTGGGAAGAGAGTTTAGAATTTTTTTTCATTTGTTTAATGGTGTATTTTGAAAGTAGTTTTGGAGTTTGTGAGTTTTGAATGATTTGATATTTTGTTTAATTGAGTAGATGTGTGTGAGAGAAAAAATGATTGAGAAGGAGAGAGGAGAGAAAAAAAGTGATTGATTGATGTGTAAGAGAGAGAAAGTGATTTTGAAAATTGTTTTGGAAAAATTACCAACCAAACAAGTTTTTTTTTAAAAATTTCTCAAAACCACTCTACAAATCCAAACCAAACATATCCTAAGGCTCTTATGTGAGAGGGAGGATTGTAAAAAATTAAGGCTTTGTTGGCATGTGCTAAAATAGCATGTTATCCTATTTGAATCACAATCATTTTATTTGAATTATATCACCTCTCTATCATATCATTTCAAATTAAATTCATATTTTATATTTTTTTTATAAAAAATCAAAAAGTATATTAATCTAGTATTTTCCAAACAAACCCTTATCAGTTAAAAGATGGAAAATGAAACATTTGCCCAGCTTGGATGTTACAGAGTAAGCCCATTTTGTAGAGGTTTCTTTTCTTTCTTTTTTTTTTTTCTATGGGTACACATATGGCAGAGGTTTCATTGATGAAGAAGGAAAATGAGTGAGAGCACTAATTAGTGTCATCACTAATGATGTGGCAGTGGGCCCCACCAGGAATGATTTGATGTTTTGGCCTTGGTGTTGTATTTTTTTTCTTTTTTTATTGAGTGCCATGTCATTAGTGGTCTTTTTAGAACTCCAAAATTAGTAGTTTCTATCATTGTTGGATGAAGAAAGCCGTGCATGTCATGGATTGGACACCATAATACTGTTTCTTGAAATGACTTGCTTGATGCTTTTGGGTTGAGATTTTGACCATTTAATTTTTTTCTAAAAAATGTCCCAATTGGACTGCAAAGAGTTAAATAATGATTGAATTAATTTGTTGTCTTTGTTAGTACTACTGTGCTGATACAATTGGATGTGGTGTCACTTGTGTTATTTTAAGTTGTTTATTTTGTCAGAGGAAGATCTGCATTCTGCAATGGTGGTGCATTTGCATGGTTGTTGGATTCTGATATGTTTCATATGGATAGAAAACGACTCTGATTATGTTGGTGTTGATGTGATTACAACCTACTGTCCTGGTGGCAGTTTTATGGAAAAATGCTTCGGACCCCTGGGGTCGACCCCCAGTGAGATGGCGCGTTCTGATTGAATAAAAAAAAACTGTTTTATTTATTTATTTATTTTTTTGAGTTTCAGCCAGTGGGGGCTCGCCACCTCACTGGGGGTGCGACTCCCACTGGGGGTCTGTAGCATGGTTGCAGTTTTATGATTTATGAAGCTAAAAGTTCAATAAATGAAGGGATGTGTTTGGTTATAGATAAAGATAGATATGTATAAAGATGAGGGAATCGAGTAAAAATAAATTAAAAACGGCTAATAGAGTACAACCAAGCTCATTTTAGATGGGCCAAACGAGGTTAAAACCTACTGGACTCTAAGTCATTATCGAATAGATATAGAAATAGGATGATGAACACGCCAAATAAAGGGTACTTGGGCCACATGACTTAGCCAAGTATATTGGATAAGTCGGCCAGATCATGTCAAGTGAATCCAAGCTATCCCTCTCTAAAGAATACCGTAGAGAGATGGGTCTTGATAAAGTGATGATAAAAGGAAGGGATGAGAAAAAAATGTATGTGCAAAAAAAAACTGGTATTAGAAACTCAAAAGTACTCTTTCAATAAAAGTTAACTTGCTCGTCGAAATACTAATTCTAGCACCATCGATCGAAGTTTTATTTCTATTTCAAGTGATAGTTGGGAGAATCTTTCAAGAATTTGTTTGGATTGAAGGAGTATTGCAAAACCACTTTTCCACTGTAGATTAGTGATATCTATTGAAAGTTGAGAACAAATAATTTAATTTTGAGTTCAAATTTATTTATAGGAAGTTACAACTGAATTTAGCTTTTGGAATATTCAAAAAACAGCCTAAAAGACAACAATTATATAAGAAGACAAATGCTAATTGTTTAATATCAGGATTTATGTAGAAAGTGCATTGAAACTAGGTCAAAAAAAGAATTATGAAATTAATAAAAAATATATTGAAATAGGTTAAAACTGCTTTGTGTTTATTTATTTATTTGTCCTTTCTTGTGTCCTAGATGCACTTAGGCTTCGTTTGGGAAGAATGGGTTGGGTGGGTTTGGGGTTATTTTAGTCACAAAAAGAAAAAATGAACTTTTTAGTCTAATAAGACAAAACATCACATCCAATCTATAATTATTACATTATTTCTCTCACAAAAAATCAAAAAAATCAATAAATCTTTTTCAAATGAAACTTTTTAATCTCAAACTAAAAAAATCAAAAAATCAACCCACTTTTCAAACGAATTCTTAGCATGAAAGAGATTGATTGTGCAACACACTTCCTAAACATGCAAGGATGAGTAGGCTTTTGGTAGGTGTAACTAAAACAAAAGAGGGTAACTTGTTCCAAATTTAGTTAGAAGTTGAAGATTGAAGACCCTTCCTTGAACTTATCCACCCAAGCCATATGCCATCATTTATTTATCCAATTTATAATTATTACATTATTTTTCTCACAAAAAGTAAAAAAAATTAATAAATCTTTTTCAAATGAAACTT